GCTTCCCCCCGCCCCTCTGCTCCCTAATTAAGTGGCTGTATTTTAAATCAAGTTCACAACGTATTTCATATATTTAATATGCCTGACTGGATTATATAGAAACACAGAAGCACATCTGAGCAACACAACGTAACCATATATGTCATTAACATACATAATTAACATAACCACGTATGTGCGCGCACACACATAAAAATGTCAGCAGTGCACCACTGCCTGAGATATACCGTGCCCCCCGCCTTCGCCATGCAAAGGGACGTGGCCCCTACTGCGCCCTCTGCTCCTGGTGCCCCGCCACAGCACTATGTCCCCAGAAACAGGTAGAAATCCTAATGTGCTGACCATTGAGTGAGGCAGGCAGATTGCCCCCAGGCACGGCTCTCAAAGGCCATTTTTAGGATGGACGCCAGGTGGGAGATGGAAGCGTTTCTAACCATGCGGGTGGGAAGTCAGCCCAAGTCTCGGCTGCCCAGAGTGCACCCGAGGTTGCCACCTGGACACAGGCTCTGCGGCCCAGGCAGGGCTCTGGCCTCCTCGGGGTCCTTGGGAACATGGACGCCCCCCGGGCCCTGAGGCTGGTGAGCCATGTCACGTCTGAGGAGTCACCTCCGTTCCCAGTCCTTTCGTGTTTTAACTCCTACAGCTGTCATACACTCACCGGATGAGATTCCCATTACGGTGAGTGTGGGTTTTATTTAGATTCTTTGTCACACCAGAAAGATAGTAAATGATGATAAAGGAGCTGGTTATTTTTAACGCCTTTCCAATCCTGCCCCTCCCGGCAGCCATTGACACTCACCTGGCCTTTCAAAGAGTCCGCCGGGGCCGGGGGAGGCACCGGGTGGGGCCCCTCCACACGCAGCAGCCCAGAAGCTCAGGGAGAAACCAGCAGCCAGGCCAGCCCAGGCTGGGAGCCTGCAGCCCTGCGGTGACACCTGGGAGGGGGGTGTGGGCGCAGCAGGGGCCGAAAGCATCTAGAACACAGGGCTTCTGAAACCCTCTCTTCACTCAAACACACCCGCCTCAGGAACTCGGTCCCTCCACTCCTCTGTAATCACAGGCTCTGAGAATGGAGCTGGACGCAGTCTGGGGCCCCAAACCACCAAGAACGGCCTTCCCGCTCTGTGAAGCCTCCACGGGGTCTACCAAGCCGTCACCACCCCGTGGGGGGCCCCTGCCGCCCGCTTATGCCTCTGGGACACGGGCACGAGTTATAGCCAAGCGCGCTTTGTGATTCAACAAATATTTCCGATGGACCCCCGGTGCCGGGAACCTCGCTGTGTCAGCGCTAAGTTCTCCCTCCACTTTTAAAAATTAAACTGATGGATATAACAGAGGTAGCAACGCTCCGTGTTGGCTGCTGATCTTGTGACGACCACGGCAATGAATGATCAGGGCACGGGACCTCGACCATTAATAGAGGGCCATTAAGGGCCTTGACGGGGGAGAACGTGTCCGTGGCCAGCCGCGGGTTCCCAGAATCACACTTCACTTCCAGAGCAACTATCTAACGCAATACATGAAAGCGGAATCCTGTTTACTCAACCAGCCCCCCGAAGCAGCTGTCGAGTTCGGAAAGGACCCCTGGAAAGGAGGCTGGCTGGTTGCGAGGGTGGCCACATGCGCGCCCATCTCCCTGATTCTCAACAGGAACCTGCAGAAGAGTCTGTGCCGAGCACGCTCAACATCTCGCACACTCCCCGGCCACCAAAAGGACTTAGAGATGGATTTAACCCTCAAATCGACCTCTAGAGGAGAAAGCGCCGGGTTCTCCCTCGGATTCAGAAAGGAGAGCTGGCCCGGTGGCATCCCGGCCTGCTCCTGCCTCCTCCGGGTCCCAAAGCCCAGGTGGCCGGCCCAACTGTGCATCAGCCTCCACAGCGCTCTGCTCCTTCCCAGCATTTGTTTCCTTCCTGTTCGAATTAGCGTCCAGAGGAAAGCCGTTAATCCTGCCGCACTGTGAACTGCCGAGCGATGGAGAGACTGGGAGAAAACACCGAAAGTCCTGGGAAGAGGGAGCTGGACACATTTGCATCATTCCAGCTGTTCACTCAACTCCATGTTCTGAGACCGAACCCCACGAAGCAGATGGAAGGAGGGCGTCCCGGCCCCTTTCCCAGCCCACGGTCACGCAGGCCCTGTGCCCTCACCACGCAGCTGTACTGCAAGTCAGGCTCCGGAGACCCCCACCCTCGCCCCCAACTTTCAGTGTAGTTCACAGACACAGGGCATTCGCATGCTGTGCTCACTGCGAAAAGCAGGTGCTTTGCTTCCAGAGGAGGGTCAGGGTGGCCCCCCAGCCAAGCCAGAGAAGGTGCTGCCAGGCCCCTGTGGGCCCCCACCCCACGGCGTGGCCGTGCTCGGGGGGGCCTTCTCCCTGGCCCACCAGCCGCCTGGGCCAGGCCTGACGCGGTGGGCAGGACCATTCCTACAGAGACCGGACCAGCCAAGGCTGCAATTAGAGACCACAATACGCCTCTCTCTCGGTTCACAGCCCTATTCATCTCGGCGAACACTGGAAGACAGACCGGCCAGAGGGGGACGGATTAGCCACAGGGTGACCTGTACCTCCACACAAAAGGGGAAGTGTGGAAAACCAGCTCCCTGTGTCCCCCATTCTTCACCCCTGAAAACACCAGATTCATGGAAATGGCTATTTAAACAGCTCTTCCCCACTCATCCGCAGACAACAAGTCACAATTGTCCACCCGCCTCGCTCCCTCCCTCCCGCTGGCCAGCACGCTGTTGGAAGAAAGTGGACTGGAGCTTGCAGCCTGCTGGCCGGAACGGGCCCTGGGCCTCCCCCGGAACCAGGGTCGGCCCCACCAGCCTCCCCAGTGGCTGCCGGAGGCTCCTGACCCCAAGGGGCTGAAAGGGGCAGCTCAGAGAGGACAGGGATGGTGCCCAGTCCTGACCTTCCAGAGAGATGGGGCAAAGGGTGCTCAGGCCCCGTGAGGCCAATGCAACCGACTCAGGGTGGACAAACGGACTCCCAAGAGTCCTGGAGGCTGGCAGGCAAACACCTGCACTCCCCAGCACCGCCTGAAAACACCGTGCCTTCAGAGCATGCACCTGCTCCCCGGCCCCACACCCCACTTCCCGTTCCTACACCGTCTTCCAGAACGTGGCCCCGCGAGTGCCCACTTCAAGGTAAACACCGAGGTTTCAGTGAAGGGCTCTCAATAACCCATCCACAAAAAATACTCCACTCTGAGCACGATTATTCACTTAAACATCGACCTGCCCTGCACCTAGCATTTTCAAATCCAAGAGACAGAAACTCTTTCCTCTTGCCCAAAACACACTGTCCTTAAGACTCAAGGCGCCAGGAGGACGGCCGTGCCCTCCGAGGACACCAGGACGGGTCAGTTCCCACCAGATGAATGGGAGGGGACCATTTACCCACATGGTATCACAGCAGCCAGTGGCTTTATTCTCTTACTGAGTCCCAGCTGTGAAATAGGGGGAAATCCCCACACAGCCCACACTCCTGACCTCAGCGAGAAACTGCGAAACTTTAACACAAGTCCCTTTTCAAACACGGATCCTCCCAAAAAGGAACGATTCCCGGGAACAGCAAAGAACTTACGGCCTAAACAAGGCCCAGCCACGCAGGGCCTCCCCGGCCATCTGGGGGGTTCCCAGGGTCCCCAGGCAGAGGACAGCTGAGAATAACCCTCTGGGGACTTGCTAGGCACAGAACCACCCAGTCCTGAAGCAGGTCAGCAAGCTGGTGGGCGAGGGCTGCCCTCCAACTTCAGGAAGGACTCACCAAGCCCTCGCCAGCAGCCAAAGCCGTAGCATACCCCTGGACGGCTGCCTCTCCTCCAGCGCCCGGACCCCAAATCAAGAGAGGACACTGAACATCAAACCAGCGGAGCCACTGACCCGGCCTGGGGCTGGCCTCCCGCGCCTACCTGCTTCCTCGGCAAGCCAGCAGCTCGTTAATTAGGCAGGAAGCAGCTGAATGTTGCAGACCATTCCTTTGTAGGAACTCAGAGCTAATGAGGATCCACCTGCATTAACAGGCCACACCAGCTCCCTCCTGTGCTCAGCGTTCCCTGCAGGCCAGAGGGAGCCTGAGGGCAAGGGCACCTGATGGCCACGGGCACTGGCCTCCGTCTGCTGTTCTGTGAAGGCCAGCCAGGCTGAGCCCAGGGTGCCCCAGGGCTGCTCTCCAGGAGAGCCGGCCCGAAAGCCAGGAAGTTTTCTGGAGTGTCTGGGGTATTCAAGGTGCCCACCGAGGATACCAGCACATGCACCCTGTCCTGGGCCCTTGGTGAAGGTCTCCTCGGTCCCAGAGACCCCTCTGGCTGCAAAGGTCACACCATCAACGCGAACCTCTCAACTAAGTCCCAAGAACGGGATCCACCAGCCCTGTGCTCTAGCAGACACTGAGACGACAGGGGCGCCTAACTTGGTGCGGGCCCAGGCACTCTGGCGGCGAAGTCCCCCCTTCTGGAGCCCGCGGGTCCCTCACTCGGCCTAGAAGGCGGCAGTGGAGGGCGGGGGACGGGCACAGAGGCCTGGCCCTGGGCTCCTGCCCGCCCCCGACCCCGCGCCCGCTCCAGCCTGCCCGGCCCAGCCAGGCCGGCCAGCGTGGAGCGCTGGTGCCATCTACCGAGGGCCCGCGGTGAGCGAGCGGGCGCCGCTGCCAACGAGCCGTGCGGGGCAGGGGACGGGCAGGGGCAGCCTCCTCGGCGTGGGCCGGGGCTCCCGGGCGGCGCGAGAGGCATGGAGGCCACCGCGCCCCGAACCCCGCGCAGCACCCGCGCCCGCGGGCCGCCCGTGAACCCCGATAGGCGCGGGGCGGCGGGCTCCGCACCGGGGCCGGGCGCGGCGAAGGGTCCGCCGCCGGCCAGTCCGGCCCCGCAGTGGCGCTCAGCGAGCCCGGGCCGAGCCCGGCGGTGGCGGCGGCGGCGGCGGCCGAACGTGCTGGAAGCCCGGGCGGGCGCCGAGGACGGCGCCCAGGGACCGCTCCGCGCGCCGGGGACAATTACCTTCTTTGAGGAACTGCGCGTGGATCACCAGGACGAGGAAGCAGCAGAGCGCGGCTCCGGCGAGTGCCCAGAGCGCCTTCAGGAGCTGCATCGCGGAGTGCCCACTCGGCCGACGCCCCCAAAGTCGCGCAGCGAAGGTCCAGGCGCCGCATCAGCGCCCCGCCGGGTGCAGCCGCCGCGGCCGCACGCTCGCGCCCTCCATCCGCCGCCACCGCCGCGCTCGCCGCGACTGGAGGCGCCTCTCCGGGAGGCGAGCTGTGTCTTTTTGGGCAGGGGGAGGGGAGCGGGCGTAGGGGGGGCGCCGGGGAGGGGGCGGGCGGGGGCGGGGAGGTTAGCAGAAAGTCTCGGGCCGCGGCGGCCGCCCCTCCGGCCACTCGGCCACCATCGCGGGCTGCGGGGCGCCGGGGGCCCGGGCGCGGGGGGGCGGCCGCCGCGGCCCCATGAATCAGCCCCGCCGCCGCCCCCGGAGCCGCTCCGCCAGCAGGGCCCGGACGGCTGGCCGCGGATTGCGCAACGGCCCGGCGGCGCGGGGGGGTCCTGCGCGGCCCCGGCCCTTCGGCCGCCTGTCGCCTCCCCGCCCCTGCTCCGCGTCGCCTTCCTCTCCTCCTCCTCCTCCTTCGCCGCCGCCGCCCGCGCTCGCTCCGGCCCGGGGCTCAGGGGGCCGCGCCGCCGCCGCGGAGGACCAGGCTCGGGGCCGGGGCTGCGCGCCGGGCGCGGGGCTGCCGCACCATCGCCGCCGCCGGGGCCCGCGCGGCCCGGCCGAGCCCGCCGCGATCGAACTTGCGCGGCCCGGGGCTGGCTGGCCGGTCCCCCCCGGACGGTGCCGGCCTCCGCGCTCCTCGGAGCCCGCGCCTCCGCCGCTGCGGCCGGACGAGGCCCGGGCCGGCGCCTCCGCAGGCTGCCCGCGCTCGCTGGCGCTCCGGGGCCGGTGGCGGCGGTGGTGGCGGTGGTGGCCGCGCCGACAGGTGGGGCCGGCGACGCTGCGCGCCTCGCCGCCCGCGGGACGCCGCTGCTCCGGCCCGGCGGCGCGCGCCCGCCCGCTCGCTCGGCTCGGCCCCTTTTGGGGAGGCGGCGGGAGGGGGAGCGGCGGCCAAGCCCGCGCGGCGCTCGGACTCCGGCCCGCGCCCGCCGCCGTCTGCGCTCCGCCCGGCCCGCTGAGCCGCCGATGCGCACTGGGCCGCGGAGAGGACCCGGGGGACCCCCGCCGCCCTGCAGCGCCCCCGCCTGGCGCGCCGGCGGGTCAGGCGGGGCCGGTCCAGCCGAAAACCGCCGGTCGGGCTCCACCTAGGTGCGCAGGGGCCTCACTGCAGAGCCGGCCGCGCGGGTGGGGGAGCGGGGCTCGGAAGGCCTCCAGTGCGCCCAGCCCCCTCGCCCCCTATGGTCCCAGGAGGGGTGGGGCGACCCCGCTGAGGCGTCGCCACTGCCCAGGGCTGACCCGCGGTGCGTTCTAAAGAATGTCACTTCTACCTGGAAACACAAACGGGCCCCTTCCCAGCCCTTGTGAGTGACCTCCTCTAGGCTGCATGGCCCGTCCCCCAGCGCGTGGGCGCACAGAAGATGTCCACAGACTGCTCCAGACAAAACGGCGGGCTCCTTCCTGCCGCGCCCTCCGTCGCGCCTCTAGGAAAGGCAGGTATTTGATCCGGCCAGTTTTCCTCACCATCCCTGTGCCCCGGAGCAGGGGCATCTGTGTCCTGTTCGGAGTCGCCAAGAGGCCAGACCCAGTGCCACAGGCCTCAAAGCATTTTTGCCTAAGTGGAATTTCAAGTTCTATTCCAAATGCCGAGCAAAGAGCTTTGGACGGAGGATGAGGGCAGGAGCCTCTCCCTGACCTCTGCCCCTACCTGTGTGTGGTGGGTTGGGGACAGGACGGTACCGGCCACAGAGGGTCCTTGTGAGTGGGAGGACCCCACAGCGCAGGGGCCACTGAAGGCTGCTTCCTTCCTGCAGGTATTCACATGCCAGGAGGGAAAGAGGCCAGACCTAAGTGGGCTCTCAGAGGTGAGATAGGTCAAGCCCCTAGGTGTGCATGTGGGGAAACTGAGGTTCGCAGAGGCCTGGACATCAGCACCAAATCCAGCAATAAAGAGCAGACCAGGACTAGCACCAAGTTTGCTGCTGTCTGCCTGGCCTGATTCTGCTGTGCCCAGCCATTGATTGGAGGCGAGGCCCCCTGGGACGCAATTCCACACCACTGGCTGCATCCCTCCTCAAGCTCCCCACCCCACCAGGTGGTCCATGAGATGGGAAGGCTGGTCCAAACCTTCCCCTGGAGGAGCAGCCCCAGCCTCACGCAGGCTAGGCAGCTGAGCAGCTGCCTGGGGAGGGAGGGCGTTCTCTCCCCTTGTGCAGTCCCCTCTCAGAGCCCCATTTCCTGAAGCTCCTCACCTTGCTCCTCTGCCTGCATCTGCCCACACCAGGCATTTTCCAGGAAAGCCCCACCTGCTGCAAGCACTGGGGAGCCCCACAGCCCAGCGGGGAGGGCCTGACCTCCACCAAGGTCGTGGGCCTTCCATCCTCACCCAGAGCAGAGCTCTCCACTTCAGAAGCCTAAGGGTCAGTAGGGTGCTCATTACGCATGCATACCCAGGACCCCAGGGGACCTCAGTCAGGAAGCAAAGCCCACCTCTGATGTCCCCGGTGTCCCCAATCAGGTGCATATTATCTGAAATTGTGAAAATTGAAAAGTATTCTAAATTCACGAAGGAGACTTTTAAAGGCTAACTTTCTGTCAAGAGAATTAAAGAAAGCTTGCAAAGAGAAGTGTGTCCTGGGTTTATTTTCAACAGGTGGGACAGGAGGCCCTGCATCCTGCTCTGTGAGGACCCAAGCATCCTCCTCTGGCACCAAGACCTGCTACTAGTAAACACGTGCAGCATCATTTGTAGCTTTGAAGGGGTAGCAGGTGAAAAGAGGGGAAGCATGGCAGGTGCCCTCGAGAGTCAGTTAACAGTGTGCCCCAGGCAGGGGGTCCGGGGCCAGGTGCTCACCAGGTGGGCATTCAGTGGAAGAGCTGTATTTCCAAAGCACTGTCCTCTGACCCCCTCCAAAACAGCTGCTGTCTGGCCAGAAGGATGCCGTCCAAAGATAGGGGTGTCATCTGCCCGGGGAGGGTCCCCACAGTGCAGGGGGTGTGGCCCTCATATAGGAAAGCTGCGTTTTGTCTCCCGTGTCTCTAACTGGGTCTGACGTGGCCTTCACTGGGCACACAGGCAGCAAACTCAGAGTTTAGGTGGAGCTGTGGTTTTGCCACTAACACCAATCGTGGGAGTCTTCCCATCACATCACAGCTCTGGTGAATATCTCAGAATATCATTCATGTTCACCCTTCAAATTGTGAGGTCCCACCTCCAGGCGTTTTAGTGTCATGTTTTAATAAAGAAGCAAACATATTACTGTAGCAAAATAGATTTTCCAACATTTGATAAAACCGCATTTTGACATAATTGGTTTTCTTAGTAATCTTACCTACTTGATTTTATTCTGAGAAGGGTTCCATGAGTGTCAGCAGATGGCACAAACAAGGTGGGGAGCCCCCTGCTCTAAGCAGAGCAGAGCAGAGCAGAGCTGAGGTCCTTGGCCATGGGCAGCAGACAGGGCCAGGAAGATGCAGGACCATCCCCGGGTCGGGGGGGTGGAGTGCCCAGCGAGGGACCTGCTTGCCCTCTGGCTCCATCACCACTTCCAGGGAGGCCATCTGTCCACACACCCTGGCCCTTCCCAGAGAACCTCCAGTCAGCTTTCCCAGTCAAGCAAGAAGCCTGTGGGCTGCACAGGGCAGAGGTGACACACTGACCGGCCACTGAACCCACCTCAACCTTTACTGCTATACAGAGAGGACCCAGCAGGCAGGACCACCACAGGGTGTTTGCAGAAAGGCAGTGGCGTGAAAGAGAAGGAAGGCCCAGGATATATAAACTCTACACTTGACCCTCAGAGGGCAGAAATCAGAAAAGATTCAGGGAAAAGTAGAAATAATAATAATTCTAAATAGCATCATTCCCAAAGAAATTTAAGAGAATGCAGTACCAGTAAAAGACAATCGAGCTACTACGAAAAAAGGAAAACAAGAGAATGAGAAAGAAGTCTGGGAGATCAATGTGACCAGCCAATTTTGAGCTCTCAGGGTGGACTGAGGAGTAACTGGGTGTGACTAAAACCAGGTATGGGAAATAAAATTGAAGTAGTTCCCAGAATGGAGAGCAAAGGGAGAGATGGGAGTAGGGAAAAGTTGAAACATGGAGGGTATGTCCTGGGGTGTCAAACTTTTATTAGAAATTCTAAAGGAGAAAATAAAAGATGCCAAGGAAGAGGAAATCATGAAATAAATGAGCACACATCCTCAGACTGTGGGGCTGCCATTCTCTAACTGGATCCAGAGCACAGACCTCAGCCAAGTAGTGCAAGAAACTCTTCACAGCTTGCAGAACACAAAGAACACCACCGACAAGTACATCGTGTTCCATGAAGTCAGAAATAACTGACACCTGACTTTTCATGAGCAACACAGCTTTTAGAGCACATGGGTGTAGGGTCTTTAAGTTCTGGTGGGAAAAGCTACAGTATCTAGAATTCTGTACCCAGCTGAACTGTCAATGATGTATGCTGTTTAAGCTCATTCTGAAGGTCAGGTTACTGGCCAAACACCCCATACGAAAAGCTGACCTAGGGGATTCTCCAGCAGAGGAAGGGGTCAAGAAATGGGACATGGGAAGATAGGAGAGAGAAAATTCAGCATTGGTGACTCTTTACAAGTGAAATAAGCTGTAAAGAATGTGTATAAAAATACATCAGGCTCTCCTTCTTGGAAGACTCTCCTTCAACTGGTGAAACCTTGACAATAAATGTTCTGTCTCTTTCTCCATAGTTCTAGTCACAAATCTGATATCTGTGGGGAACAACATTCATGGAGTAACATTGGAAATGCCATTTATGTCTTTCCAAGTTTTAAAATCAACATGCAGTCAAAGCTCAGAAAATTATTTATAGTAGAATCATAAGTGCACATTCTTAAACCTTGATTTTTTTTAATCAGATGAAATGAAGGAAGATGGAATGTTGGAGGAGAGAGTAGCCCTCTGCTGTCGTTCTGCTCAGACCGCGAGGAGGCACTGACCACAGGTGATGGAGTGAAAGCGGCATAGGCACTCTGAGTCACAGAGGCAGCTGAAAACAGATAAAGAAACATTGTAGCAGGAAGGACTAGAACAGGAAAAGCACACTCTGAACAGTTTGGTCCTGGGAAAGGTTGCGGATGGGGGAGAGGGAGGCAGCATCCTGCTTTTCCTTGTGAA